TTTATATATACATCTATCTAATAAACACACACATGTATATATATATATGTATCTGTATATATATATATGTGTACAATATTTATATGGATGTGTATATGTTTATTTATATACATGTATATGTATATTTGTATATGTGTATATGTGGATATGTATATGAGTATATGGATATGTATATTTGTATATGTGTATATGTGTATATGTGTATATGTTGTATATATGCATAGCCCCCTGAATAATCAACAACTGATCTCTTTTTTCTCAGCTATGATACGTAAAAGCCCATACGTAAATGTCAGACATAAAACGGGTCGCAGGCGAGAGCGTCAAGTTTAGTGGTCGCATAAAAAATACAGGACAGGTGATAAACTGATATAAACTTGATCAATTGGAAAGTGATAACACGCGATTTTTTCTCTTTCGTTCTTTTAAAAACAAAAGTACTCTATAGAGTATAGTGAGAACATGCCACAAGGCCATAATGTCCATCTGATAGAGCAAAATCACATCTACCGGTATGTCAGATCTCAACTACTGAACCACTGTCACTGAGCAAATAATACAGAATTTTAAATGCGAACCAGTAATACGTTCTAGATACAGTGTACAGTGTACCCTGTATAACTGTACGTTTAACTGTACAGTACTGTACTGTGTAAATACACTCCTTCCAAAGTTCCGGGGTTTTGTTTCAAAAAGTGTACACTCCTTCCGAAGTTCTGGGCCAGTCCAATGGCTTTAAACCGGCTTGTGTTTAAAAAAAAAGAAGAAAAGAAGACAAGTCTGAACTCTGAAGACTGAATTTTTTATCTCACAAATCACAATTCACACTGATTCGACTGATGTCTGATGTCTGATGTTTTTATTTTATATATTTATTTTGCAAAAACAATTCAACACAGAACAAAAAAAAAGACAACAATGTCTCATAAATAATTGAAGGACTATTGGTGATAAATCCAAGAGGGGTTAAAACCTGAGATTATAACTGTAACTTGATTCGTCAGAGTTTGAAACTTTGTTCCTGCTCACACTTCATTCACAATTTCACAGGTGTGTGTGACTGAAGGAATATGGATCGACAAAAAAAGGGTTGAAACGTGCGGACTGAGAGTCTGAGAGTCTGAGACGAACTCAGAAGCTCAGAGTAGACTTCAAAATTTAGACTTTATAAAAGTTCAGAGTGAAACAGCTCAGCATTTGAGTCTTAGTAACTGATCTGACTGGTTTTAGCAGCGTAGCCTCAGGCCCTCAGCCCTCAGGCCGCTCACAACTCAGAGCTTCAGCCTTCACTGCTTCAGCTCTCAGGGCTCAGGGCTAATAAGCTCAGATGTCGGGGTACGAAATATATAGTTCCAACTTTAAAAAAAAATGTTAAATTTTATATATATATAAAAGTTATAACCTACATTTAGGACAATCAATGTATGTGCAAGATTTTATTTTGGAAGCTACACTCACGCTGGGCCATGAAATTGAGAATAGGCAATCAAAAGAGATTTGAGCGTTTCAGTTGTGAGTTGTGACGACTGTCACCTGAGTGACCTGGAAAATGCACATCTAAATACTATTAAAGTTATGTTACAACTTTTGCAATAAAAAAAGAGAATGTTTATTCGTGGCATAATAAAGGTTGCAACTTTTAACGCATTGTGCTTAGGCTCATGGCCTCAGGCGAGTCTCAGACTCTTATTAGTCTCAGTCGGCAGGCCTAACAGTCTCACACCCACAACAAGAGGTAGGCTCACTTTCAGCAGGGCCTCAGGGACTGTCAGGGACCCCGGGCCCGGGCCACTCAGAGCTTCAGTCCTTGTTTTGTGTTTTTCGTGACTCGCAAGTCGCGAGTCGTGAGTCGGTGAGTCGAGAGTTGAGTCGTGACTCGTGAGGGGTGAATTTGTGCATAGAGCCATAGGCCCATAGCCCTCAGAATCCTCTATTAGTCTATTTCTATGTTTCGTTTAGAATTTAGAGGGCTACGGCCTTTGTTGTCTCAGGCGAAAACCGCAGTCAAAGTGGTCGCAGTCTTAACAAATATCCCAAAAAAAAAAAATGGACCCCCAAAGAGGCACAACGAGATTTCTCCACAAACTATTGGGTTTTTTTTTAATCAAAACAAATGTCTTATTTTTTTTTACACAAATTTGGCAAACAAAACTGTTCTTTTTTCAGAAGGCTATGACAAAACTACAAAAAAAAAAATGCCAATTTCGAAATATCTAAATATAAATATTCCACACTGTTCTAAACTTCTCTTTAATAAATATTTAGGTCTCTTGTTCCACACTTTCTTTCTTTTTCATTTTTGATGTTTTTTGATGTTTTTTTGTTTTTTTTCACAAAAATATATATTTGTTTTTTTACCAAAAATCAATAGCAAATATATATAATAATATATACTTTTATGTTTT